CTTCAGGCCAGTGCCAGCCAAGGCCTGAGCCCCACTTGGCTGCCTATCCTGCGAGCCTCTTGGGGCCACTGCTCTCTGTCTTTCTCCAGCTCGCTCAGAGCCGGGCGCTATGTTTTTTCTCTGCCCTTAGCCGGGCGCTAGGTTTTTTCTCTCTCTGCCCTCTTAAGTATCTTGTCCAGGCCCCTAACAATGGCTTTGGCATCTTTGGGTACAGATTGCCCCTACCCCACCCCATCCAGCCCACTCCAGGGCTTGCTGTAGGTAGATCCCTGCTCTCTTGGGAGCAGGCTGACATTATCATGCCCTGGCACCAGGGGGGCTGCAGGATGCCTAAGGAGTGCCTACTAAGGCTTGGGCATTCTCCTTACCCCAGTATGGCTGGCGGCTGGCAGATGAAATCCAGGTGCCCCCTGCAGGCTGGCCTGGCTACTGCCCCTAACTCCCACCCTCCCCCAGCCTAGCTACAAGAGGGCCAATTTTGACTAACTCCATCCTTTCAGAGTCAGAGTTCCAAGCAAAGCGGGGTTTCCTTCCTTATCCTATTTCTTTCTCTGAGAATCTCTGCGAGTCTCTGGAAGGAAGTACAGCTTATAGCATTTCCCAATGTCTGACACGGGTCCCCTGGCAGGGCATGAAATGATTTTAGGGGTGTTTCGCTATTCTAGTCACACTGTATTTCAATGGGTAGCAGGAAAGAATATAACTGGCACAGTAATCCCATCATTTCATTTATATTACTGCTTTTAGAATGGATCAAAGTTTATGCCTGAACGTAAAAGTAAGTCAACATTTTCATTATTTTAAAATTAAGAAAATGTAAGTGAATAGAATAAAAATCCGGGAGGTAATTTGAGGATGTCCAGGTTAGGAAATTCTGGGGTCCTGGGAGTTGGTTGGTAGACAGATCTAAACGGGAATCCTGCCTCTGTGACGTCATCTAAGTCAAACTCAGAGTCACTTAGAAAATTCAGAAAACAGCCCGTTCTGAAAACCACTCGAGTGGACAGATCTATGGGAACCATTGAGCTGGGCATATCCTAGATACCCAGTAAATAGCGGCCCTGTCTCACTGCAATGGCCCGTTCCTGGATGCCCGCCCTGCGCTCTGAGAGAATTAGTGGTTCCTTCCGGAGCCTCTGATCCTTTTCCCCGTACAGCTCTCCCCCCCCTCCCTCCCCCCACACACTGCATGTGTTTGATATCCCTTGAAAGTTTTCCAGGACTAGGTCATCTCCCCAACTTTCAACCCAGCCGCTGCAATATATAGCTGCCTGCTTCTACCTTCTACCTCCCAGGCCTCACCTGCTGGGGGCCAGCCCCTCCCTGGGTGCCCAGTCCCCTCCAGGCTCATGCCCAGATTTTTTTTTTTGGTCACTACCCACCTGCTCCTCTGTCATCAAGTGCTCAGCTACAGGCACTTGCCACCATATCCCCCGCCCATCGGGGACATGTCAGTCCTCCCCACGGCTGCTCAGCAACTCAGTTCTGCCATGTGAACATGAAAGTTCCTTGGTTTTCCTAGCAGGTCTTTCTGGAAGGGGGGAGTCAGGGCAGCCAGACACTGGAGTTTGAGGCCAGTAACTGGGAAAGGCATATTTGGACGAGGCCTTGCTTTTCAGCTCTGACTATTTCTGGGTAACGGGAAGTGGATCCTAGCGGAGGTCCAGCTTTAGGCCTGGAATGATGACAATCTACCAACTGGAGGAACTGAGGAAGGGGGACTGAGAACCATTGCTGAAAGCAGATACAGAATCTCTTTCTGTGCTTGGCTGTAACAGGCCAACACATTTTGTAGGGTGAGCGGAGGGGAGAACCAGCTTCTTTCTGGCTGAGCCCTGCAATGATCAGAATCTGCCCCTTGGCAAAGCGAGTCATTAGATGTCACCCGTTACTCTCTCCGACGGCCACCCCCTGAGTCCCCTTCCTCACCATCCCAGCCCAGGCTGAATGAGCCCTGTTAAACTCAGGCACGCTTCACCCCCCACTTTTCATCCCGAGCCAGGAGCGGGTGAAGAAGCCCAGGGGACTGGGTGAATGACGGAACCTCAGTTGTGAAACGACCATTTCTTATGGGGGGGGGCCCCTCTAAGGAGCCCAGAGCTCACCACCCAGCAGGAGATGGGGAAGAGGCTCTGCTACCATCTCCTAACCCCAACCGGGGAGGGGGGAAGAAACAAACCCAGCAAGGCCGACTCAAACTTGGCTTTGAACACACTGAGGCAGTCCTCTAGGTTCATACACAGTCTGCTACCCCAGCCAGGGACAGACACTTGGGAGGAGAGAACACAAGCAGAGAAGCAGAGTGACGGGATGAGAGAGGGGCAGAGGGACCCAGAATGATCCTGCCCCCCATGCCAAGTGGCACAGAAGGGAAAAAACAATGCTGGAGGTGGCTCTGGGAAAAGCTCGAGTGGGCACGGTGTGTTTGGAGGGGGGGGGGGGGCTCTGGTAAGGTGAAGAAGGAAAGGGCAAGAGAAAGATGGCGGGGGCTGGAGGAGGGAGGGGTGTGGTCACCAAGTGGCCAAAGTCCCTACGGGATGGAGGCAGACCCCACAGCACTCCCAAGACTGGCAGAAGCCTGGGTTAGGGTCTGGTTGGTGAGGCCCATCAATGGGAGAGGTGAGTGAGGAAGTGAGGGTATTAGAATATGGGGAGAGGGTCCAGGAAAATAAGGAATGGGGTAGCGACAGGGCCCCATGTGGGGCCCCAGCGGTCATGCGTGCCATGGTTGGCAGTGACAGCTGGGTGGGGGGGGGCGCCGTTTTTGCAGTGGAGGGCGGCCTTTGGCAAAGGGGCCCCTGCGAGAGGGCTTCTGCGGGCCCTGGGCCCTAACCTTGGGCAGGCAGGGGGAGGGGGCGCTGGGAGTAAGCAAAAAGAAATGGGGGGGGGAGGGGCCAGGCGGTGATGCACAAGGCGGGGGCTGACAGCGTGGGTCCGGAATTGAGGTCATGGCCTGGGCACTCACCACTCTCCTGCTCGCTGCCCTTCTTGGCGGCGGCGGCGTTGCCCATCGCGGCGGCGGCGGCGGCGGCGGCGGCCGGGGCCGGACCCGGAGCTGCGGCGCGGCGGGTGCTGGCGGCGGCCGGCGGCCCCGGAGCGCGCTGGGCGGCGGCGGCGGCGGCGGCCCCTTGGGTTGCTGCGCTGGCTGCGGCGCCGCGACCCCCGCCAAGCCCCTGATTCCCGCGTCTCCCCGCGCCCGCCCGCACGGGAACCTCAGCCCAAGTCCGCTGCTACTGTCTGTCTGTGACGCTCCCGCAGCCTGCGCTCATTGGCCCAGGCCGCCCTGACTGACGGCGCCAGGCTGCCGCCTATTGGCTCTCTGCGACCCACCAGCGCCACGATAGGTCCCAGCTCCGTGACGCGCACCGCGGATGCCCGGCCACTGGCGCGCTCGGGAGGCGCCTATTGGCTGCGGTCAGCGTCAAGGCCCCAGGTTCGCCCAGGGCGGCCGCCAATTGGCCGAGGCGTGCGATCCGGCCCGTCCCCCGCACAACATTCAGTGTCAATCCCGGGGTGAGAGGGCGGGGCGGAGGCGCAGCTTGCAGTCGGGGCTGCGAGGCGGGGCGGGGCGGGGCGGGGCGGCCGAGGCTGGCGGATGGCTGCGCCGCGCTTGGAAAATCAGGAGGCGGTCCAGGCGGGCGCCTGCCCGGCCCCGTGCACGCCGCAGTCCCCCGCCTCCGCTCAGTGCGGCAGCGGCCGCGGGCCAGCCAGGGTTGGCTCCACGGTCCCTTCCCCTCCCCCGGCGCAGTCACTGTCCACCTGCCAGCGGGGGAGGGGAGTGGCGCCACGGGTCAGAGGTCGCCGGGCCTCTAGCCTTCGTCATTCATAAGGCCCAGCGAAGGCTAGCTGCAGCAGGCCCCAGCGTGGGGCTGGGGCACCTGGAGGATGCTGGTCCTGGGGAGCAAGGGGCGATTGAGAGGGAGCCCTCAGTGTCCATCCCGTTGCTGGGCGCCCACACTGGGCTCGTGCCACTCGTTGAATACATTACTTCTCACCAAGCCCTGCCATGCAGGAAGCATTATCATTCCCATTTTACAGATGAGGTATCTGGGGCAGCGACAGCCTGGGAATTCTGTCCGGGCAATGCAGAGGGAATCTGCCTTCCAGGACTTAGCAAGATGCTGCTCTTCTCATCTGTAGACCGGTATACCGTCAGTGTTCCTCACTGCCACACTACTGACTTTTGGAGCCTGATCATTCTTTGCTGGGAGGATTGTCTTGTACACTATAGCAAACCTCCCACCCCCACCCCAGTTTAGCTGCATTCCCAGTTTCTCTACCTACTGGATGCCAATGGGACCTCTTTATCCTCCACCAGATGTGACAACCAAAACCATCTCAACATTGCTAAATGTGCCCCAATTTTGATGAGCAAAATTGCCCCCAGTTGAAAGCCACTGAAGCCGAGGAAAACCCAAAAAGGAAGTGGTCAGAGGGGCAGGGGACTGATGAGCCAGCTCTCCTAACTTGGAGGGGTTTAGGAGGTCATAAGTCGGCAAGCCAGCCAACTCACTGCTCTAAGTTTGTACCACCTGCACTCTACCCAGCAGCTGTCTACACCCATTTTCCTAAGTCAACTACAGTCTCAGGAAGGGAAGAGTTGGGCTCTTATGGGAATTATGGGGAAATGGCTCACCAGCTGTCTGGCTGTGGGGTTACAAAGAAAGGTTAAGTAAAAGTTAATAAAAGTGTTGCTGTGTCCTTGGAGTACGATGTTAGTTTCTTCCTGTGGGTCAAGGTCAATGTCTGAAAAAAACCACCACTGGTTATGCTCTACAACAGCTGCATTGCTTAAGCTTAAACAAATAAAAACCCCTTTCCAAATCCCAGTCTGGATTACAAATATACAACCATTTAGGACTAGGGCAAGAAGTGGAGCAAGGAGACAAGAGGCAGTCAACCTATTGGCCAGGGACCTCCCTCCACCCCATGTTCCAAGGAAAGACGGACAAAGCTACCTCTGTTTCATCTAAGACAAAAGCAGAAACAATCAATAGAGATGAAATGCATTTTTAGATCAACCAAACACATTTAATACAAAAACCTTTTAACACTCAACAGCATCCACGAAGCAGCAAAGGGACGGGGCACGTGGCAGAGTATGGCAGGGGAAGGTGGTTTCAGGGCCCCTACCGTTTCCCATGCCTGTAATCACTCTGCAGCCTGTGGGAACATGAGGTCTTAGCAGAAGGCAAAAGCAGCCAGAGGCCCTGATGTCAAAACAGGGCCTGGTCGGCTGCTCCCACAGTGGCAGCCTCCAGGGAAATCCAGATCCAATGAGGAGGTAACAAGAAGGTGGTTGTGACTGAGAGGAGAATCAACCATCATTCCTCAGCATCCAGCTGATCACACTTTTGTGAACAGAGTTTTCCAGGGGCTGCTGGATTGAAAAGACCTAAAAATTGTTCTGGGGAAAGGACAGAAATTGTGTCCGAGTCTACCTTCTAACTCAGATTTCTTGTGGCTCCAGAAAGCTGGGTGGATCTACTCAAATGTTTGGGATGGGGAATGACAGAGCCTTTAGCTCTGCAGGGCTGGGACCATGGACCAAGAAAGCCTCAAGGAAGGCCAGGGAGGTCTGTGGGAAGAGCTCTGGTTCAATGGCATTTCTATGGGAGCGTGGTGACATATTGGCTTGTGTGTGGAAGAGAAAGGACGCAAGTTAGAGAATTAACTTAAACTACCTGCTTTTTATAGGCCTGGGCAGTAAAGGTGAGATAATCTTTCTGAGCTGAGGTTGAGAGAGACCTGAGGTCCATTCTTTCCTCAGGGATAAGTTTGATAGGCCTGAATATAATTGATGGCCCCAAAGTCTTTCAGATGCCCCCTCCAGATGTGTTGGGAGACTGGCCATAGTCCTAGCTGGGCCCAGGTAGGGCCTGGAGTCCCCCGGTTAAGACCTCAGTTAGATGCAGTCCATGGAGTTCTCGGGGAGGAGTCCAGGGATGCAGCCAGGGAGCCCCAAGCCCTTGACAGGGGTACAGTTGATGGGGAGGCTGCAGCTTAGGGCAGGGTCCTGGTTCTCTATGGTCTCCAGCCTGTCCGTGTTGTTGTCCCAGTTGATGTGGAAACGGGTCACTCGGGGATTCGAGGCCAAGATGTTCCGTTGGAGCTGGGATAGAAGAGAAATGTCAACTGTCAGCATGCCCTATCATTACTCCCACAAACCCAGGGCACCCTCATCTCCCATCCCAGACCCATGAAGAGCAGACCTTGCTTATTCCATCACCAAGAGTATGTGTGGGACTCCAGGGAATGCCTGTGCACCCTGATTGAGGGCCAGAACCTATCTACTCTGAATTCTGCAAGGCATGCTTCTGAAAACAAAGACCTCTCTCTCTGAGCACTACTTGAAAACTGTAAGTGACCTTGGCTCCTGAATCAATCCAGTGACTCAACTCCCCCAGATACAAAGGAGCCAGATGATATAGAGCAGGGAGTGGCGATCGACCCCACCTGAGAGAAGTCTGGCTTTGGGGGTGGGTTCTCCCGCAACTCGGGGTCGAGGTACTCATTGTTGACGTAGTAGCCCACACGAATGAACTCCTGCCCATGGTAGGTGCAGGTGATGAGGACCACGGTCACACCAATGGCGTCGCTCTCAGGGATGAGGGATGGGTTGGGAGCATCGGCCTAGGGAAAACGCATACTGAGCCTTAGCACCGTCAGCTCTGAATTCAATGTTAATGAATCAACAATATCAATTGAGGTATTTAAACACACATAAAACAAGGTTATGTGTTGACTGGTTGACAAAAATGTGACATGCAGGAACCTAGCTTTGTATGTCCTATGGGGCCATGGTTCAGTGTTCACTAATTCACTGTTCACAGCAGCTTTACAGAATGTAACTCCTGTGAATAATGAGGATCAACTGTGAATCAGTGGTTCATGGTGACAGTCATGACACAGAGATGGAGGAAAGAGAGGTGTTTGAAGTACCATTGAGAGGTCAGTTCTTAAGAGCAGAGTGAGAATTTGAATCTGAACTTTAGACCACTATACCACAGTGTGTTTTTGGTAGAAGAGGATGTTTCTAGGTATGAAAGCCTAAGGCCTCCTTTCTTACCTGAAAGATGAACATGTGTCTCCCTGCTGGAATGGGGCCAACCAGCACTGAGTCTAGGATTTGGTCAAACTCCTCACTCTCAGCTGAGCCAACATAAATTATCTTCCACTCTAAGTCTGCAAGGACAGAGGGTGTTAGGGAATTGAAATAACGTGACAGCAAGAAGGCAGAGTAAGGGTCTTCTCGTGTTAGTTTTGGAGAGACCCTTAATAGGGCGAAAGATTTTTATTCTAAACAACACCTGACATCCCCTGGGCACTAAGTGCCAGGCACTGCAGTCCTGAACACTGGGCGGGCAGGAACCTCTTACTTCCAGTGGCAGTGGGAAATTTCTCCTATGGGCCTCGCTTTGCCAGGCGACCTTGACTCTGCACCTCCAGGGAAACTCGGGCCTCTCAGAGCCTGAGGACAAACCGTATGGCAGAGGCTGAATTAAGACCCACGTGAGGCGTGCTGAGGAGGGAACAGCATTTCAGGGCCCTGCCCACTGGGTACTGGGATAGGAAGCAGCATCCTCTTTCACACACAGGGACCGGTGCCACAAAACTGAGTAGATCCCTCGACAACTGGGGCAGGGCGGCAGATTCCAATACAGCAGGACAGCCAGCCGGCAGGAGGGGGAAGACAAGGCAGCTGTGGGAGTCAGCCAGGCCCCAGGTCTTTTAGATCCAGCACCAAGTCATGCCTGTTTATGGCCATTGGGTGACCCATGACTCAATCAACAAATGTGGCATCATAAGGCGCTCCTCTTAACGTCAACTCTCTTGCATCCGATCCAGTAGAGGGGACCCCATTCCTGAGGATGTTCCAGCAAGATTAAAGGAAAAGTGCTTAAGGAGACCTTGCCCATCAATCACAGGAAATTCCCAGTGACCACTGCCTCTTGCAAGAGATCCAAGTGTATCAGGGGCAAGGTCACGTTAGTACAGGGAAGCTTGGCAGGAGACCTGAAACTTATTTTAGGTTCTCTGAAATTACACAACCTATCACTCCAGCAACTGGGGGAAGTTTCACAAGCTGTGATTTTCACAGGAAGCAAATGCTCTTGGAAGCTGCCCTGTTCCTTGGTCCAGTGTCCTGCAAGTGCATCCAACTTCGGAAGCACACGCATGCCGGGCCACAATTACCGAGGTTGGTCATCTGAGCCCCAAGCTCTTCCTCGATGCACTGGCTTCCTGTCCCTTTGCAGCTTCACCCAGGCCTGCTCAGGGACTCTATCAGATTTGAGATACAACGACACCCACCCGGCCCAGGCCCGCTGGGGTTCAGACTCTAGTATCTTTATTATTTGCAGGGAGAATAAAGTTTATTGATTTATTTTTGTTATAAGTAGCGACATACTAGACGTAACATGTTTAGAACCATCAGAAAACCAGCTAGCTGTTCTCACATCTCTCTCACACGTCTAGATTTTGGTATCTTTCCTTCTGGTCTCTCCCCCATCTCCAGCTGAAATCACATGTGTGTGCATTTAACTAATGTGCTGGGGAGGAGAGATAAAAAGAAGACTGAGAGCAGGCTAGGGGCACACCAAAGGCACTTGATGTTCAATACTGTTAGGCAAATCTGAACAAAGACTGTGTGGGTGCTGACTGGAAGAGAAAACACACTGCATGGGTGGCCAGGCAAGTGGGCCACAGTGGATCCCTCAAAACCGAAGAAATTAACCAAATAATTAATGGGTGATCAGAGAAATATTAACTCAAAAGTTGGAGGAGCTGATAAAATCATCTACAGCACAAGAACCTATAAATTGGAATCATCTTAAAGCTGAAGTGTTATTTTAACTTAAGTGCCATCCGTTTTTAATATAACCATTCTTTAGAATTAGATTTGGATTATCAGTCACCAATAGAGCACAAACTCACTCCTATAAAACACTTATATACATGTAACATGCATACTTAACCTTCAGGGCAATTTATTTTTTACTTTGAAATATGATTTTTTTTTTTTTTTTAAGAGAGGAAGGGAGGATAGAAAGCTAGAAACATCAATGAGAGAGAAACATCATCAAGTGGCTGCCTCCTGTGTGCCACCCACCCAGGATGGAGCACAAAACCTGGGCATGTGCCCTGATGGGGAATCCAATGGTGACCTCGATTCATGGGTCAATGCTCAACATCTGAACCATACCAGCCAGGCACCTTTGGGGCAATTTCAAAGATAATTTGACTACATTTCATTTTGTCTTTATACCCTAACGTTATGATCTAACCACTGCACAAGATGCTCCTCCATTATGTGTGAAAACAAAACCAAAACCAACGGCATGATAAAAGACCCATGTAGTTGAAATAGCTGAGGAAACTGTTTCCTGCCTTAAAAAAAAAAAAATGTATCCAGCCGGGACCGGTTTGGCTCAGTGGATAGAGCGTCGGCCTGCGGACTGAAAGGTCCCGGGTTCGATTCCGGTCAAGGGCATGTACCTTGGTTGTGTGCACATCCCCAGTAGGGGGTGTGCAAGAGGCAGCTGATCGATGATTCTCTCTCATCGATGTTTCTAACTCTCTGTCCCTCTCAATTCCTCTCTGTGTAAAATCAATAAAATATATTTTTTAAAAAAAATGTATCCAGTAGGTCTTTTTCTGTTTGTCATTTTATTTTTGTTCATAATCATACAGATGAACCTTAGCCTGACCATAGTTGTGGGTCAGATCATCTGGCCCCATGACTTATTCAAGCAGCACCTGTTGAATTTCTCAATTGAAAGTCGCAGGACAAACCTAATGTGTTAAATGTGAACCCATGTTTTGAAAGCATCTATTTCCAGAAGCTGAGGACAAAAGAGAGCAAAAGGTGTCTTGTCAGATCTGTAGTTGCTAGTGTCAACATAACCAGACTGAGATTTCCTCATTATCTGAGGCTTCTAAAGCCAGGTCCACGCTATTTTTTGGGGCGCCGGCAGGAATCAAATTCCTTTTGCTCTGTGGGAAGAGGCAGAATGCAAGTTGATAGGTTAGAGCCTTAAGGGTAAGAACCACAGCCTGGATTTTCAGGCCAGAGTTTACTTCCCAACTTGAGTTTCTCTGGGCAAAAGCTTTATTGTCCGGGTGTAATTAATAATAGTACCCGCTTTGCTTCCTTTGAGAGTCCTGATGTGGAAATATTATAAATTCTACGATCAGTTCTATTTATGTTCCATTTCTAAAATAGAGGATGCATTCTCTCCCAGGTTTTAGTAAAGATAAAGAACCCTGGACTCAAGCCCTGGCTGGTTTGGCTCGGTGGATGGAGCATTGGCCTGAAGAGTGAAGGGTCCTGGGTTCAGTTCTGGTCAAGGACACATGCCTGGGTTGAGGGCTCATCCCCAGTGGGGGGATGTGCAGGAGACAGCCAATCCAATGATTCTCTCTTATCATTAATGTTTCTCTCCCCCCCCCCCTTTCCTCTCTGAAATCAATTAAAAACACACACACACACACAAAACAACAACAAAAACCCCTGGACTCAGAACAAGCCCTAGTGTCAATTATTTTACCAACCAGCTATTGACCTTGGAGAAGTCATGCTGCTTCTTTCTCTAGTAAAATATAATGACCAGCAGTTTGATTTTGGACCTTAACTCTGATTCTATAAACAGATTATTAAATAACTGGCAGGGGCTTCCTAGGAATACAAGTACTACATAACAGCCACACAATTCCTTTTAAATACAAGGAGTACAAACAGGCTAACTGAAATCTGATCTCCTGCCATTTGGGAACTGTGAATCCCTTAACCTATTAGCTCCTTACATCTCCTCTTGGCTTTAAAACTAAGTCTTATTACACACAGTGACATTCTACACTTAATTTATTTACACCGGCCTTGTTACAGGAAGGTTTTAACTGGACTTATTTTAGAGTTAGCCACAAGTAGATGACATAATTTAAAAAGAAGAGAAACCAGGGAGAAACGGATCCATTGGCCCAGCACACAAACATCTCCAATTGTATCAACCCTAAACTAACCCAAGTGGCTGGCTTTGCGAGCAAACTGCCCAACTGCCACCTCGAGGTGCTAATTAGTACACCCTGGCTTCCCAGGTCCCCACTCTTCAGCTGCTGCCTCTTCTCCTTTTAGCCACCAAGTGGACAAATGGTTGGATGGAGTAGTTGTACCTCAGATACTGTGGGTTCAGTTCCACCCCATTATAATAAAGTGAGCAGTGATCTTTTTGCTGCTGAGTCTTACCTTCAATTTGTAAACACTGCAACATTTGCGAAGTGCAATAAAACGGAGGTAAGCCTGTACTTCCTCCTGAAAGTGATTTTCCCAGGCCTTCCCTTGAAAGGTCTTTCCTATTTTATGGCTTCATCTTCTCACTTGGGAGATGAGAGCCATGCCTACCGTTATGTCACATAGATGAGTAAGTACATCTAGGAAGGCACCTTGGAAAAAGATGCCCAAGCCGGACCGGTTTGGCTCAGTGGATAGAGCGTCGATCTGTGGACTGAAAGGTCCCGGGTTCGATTCCGGTTGAGGGCATGTACCTTGGTTGCGGGCACATCCCCAGTAGGCAGCTGATCGATGATTCTCTCTCATCGGTGTTTCTGACTCTCTATCCCTCTCTCTTCCTCTGTGAAAAATTAATAAAATATATTAAAAACAAACAAACAAAAAGATGCCCTAAAGGCTGTAGCCTCCGAGCTGACTGTTTGAAGCTGGATACCGACCTGGTATACATGGATACAGCCCACCTCACCTAACCTCCAGATTTGGTCAGGCCATCCAAAGTACTAAGAGAACTGTGGCTGCAGGCCAGCTGGAACCCGGTGCGCACAGCGGGAACTGTGCAAGCATGTCAAACTCTCGGCCAACGGCCCACATGCCTCCTTTATATGTTAGACATGCTTGGATGCTTTCCCGGCTAGCCCACCCTTCAAATCTGAGTGTGTTATCAAAGCCCACAGTCAGGGAAGAGTGAAGCATGGGAGCTGGAGAGACTAAATTATTCTCAAAGACTGGAGCTGGAAGCTAGGCCAGTTGGGAGCTCAAGGAGAGGGCTGGGGCCAGGCGGAGGAGGAGGGAAGCCAGGTTCTAGGAGATGTGTGTGGGGACAGGAAACAGGAAGAAATTAGTGGGGTTTAAACATCAGTAGGTCGGGGAGGGGATTACTGTGTGACAAATGGGGAGACGGGGTGAGTGAGGTCTTGTCACAGGGCGCGGGGATCTTTCTTCCCAGGGAAAAAGGGTGAGAGGAAAAAGGGTACCACTGAGAAAACTGGAAGGGTGCTTGGGAGAGAGGCCTCTTACAGGGAAATTCGGGGGAGGAGGTTAAGGTTTCCGTAGGCAGTGGGAGGGGGCTGAGGGCTGGAGTCTCCGTAGGGAAAAAAGTGAGGTGGGGGCGTCTCGCCAAAGAAATGGTAGGTGGAGAAGTGGCAGTAACATTAATATAAAAATCTTCTACACAGAAATTAATAGAAGATGGGGTAGTCGAGGGTCTCGGCAGGTTAAAGAATGGCGGCTGAAACTTCCCTCTAGAAAACGGGAACCAAGACGCTCCCCAGGACAAAAGTGTGGTTTGGAAGAATGGGATGATGAGCTTTCCCCTGTGGGGAAGGGTAAGAGGCAGCTTCCACGCAGAGGTTAGAGCGGGAGAGGCGAGAGGGGAATAAGATGGCAATTTGGGGGGGAGGGGGGTTATTTCGCAGAAAAGGTCGGGGTTGGCCGCGGGGTTGGCTTTCTACGGGAAAGTCGGGTTGGCCACGGGACCCGGGGGGAGGGGGCAGTGTCCACACAGGCCCAGCCTCACCGTCCGCCAGAGCCTCATTGCACTCGAAGCTGATCTCGAACCGGAAAGGGCTGTGGAAAGGGCTCGGATTCTCCAGCACCGCCACGTTCAGCACCGATACCTTGGCCATCGCCTCGCCGGGCCGGGCCGCGACTGAAGCCGAGGCTTTGTCCGAGCCCACGTCTGGATCCTGTAGGACCAGCGGGACAGCGTTGCCCACGGAGCCCGCCGCCCGTCTCGGTCCGCGGACTGAACTGCGTATACCCTCCCCGCGCCTCCTTCAAATAGCCGGCCGCACCCTCCGACCAATCATCGTCAACGCTCCTCGGCGGCGTGAGCACCCTCTTAGCCAATCCTGGAGCGCCTGGAGGCGTGCGTGCAGACTCTCCGGACCAATCCGCGGAGCTCCCTCTCCAGGCTATGCCAGGGAGGCGGGATCACCTCTTGGCTTCTTTGGCTATCCGCGGGGAACCAATCCCCAGCGTCTCAAGACTCCGAGCACCCAGGCGGGGGTAGGCGGAGTCAATCCTGTCGGCCAATCCTGAGGGTTCCCGCACCAGCGTGGCCCGCCCTTCGCCTAACTCTTCCGGAAGGCGCTTCTCAAGGGGAGCAGCGCCGCCAACTGCCGTGCGGTGGCGCGCGGCGCTCGCTTAAGAGAGCGGGAAGGGCGGTACTGGAATCCGCAGTGATTGGCAGGTGAGGAGGGGCGTTGATAAAGCAGATGCTTTGAGAGATTATTGGCTGAGTAGCCTCAGGGGGCGGGAGGAGAGAAAGACTGGGCTTGGGATTCGTGGGGAAGAAGCGGAAGTCGGCCGCCGGCGCGAAGGAGGTGGGTTGTGAGGAGAAAGAAGGGGTGTTTGCGGCCTCGGCGCCTGTCAACAGGTGAGCGCTACCGGGAGCTTCTCGGAGGGGCTCCTGGCCCCTTACGCCCGGCGGCGGCGGAGTCCGTTGTGAACGTGTGTGGACTCACCCCTGCAGGTAGATGGAGCAGCGGTAACGCGGCGCTGGGGCCCGGGACCTGGCTGTCAAGCCCAGTTCGAATCCCTCCCTCGCCTCCACGTGGGCCGCTGCGAGTTGTGTCAGGCGCACAACGCTGTAAGTAGGAGTTCGAGTCCAGCCTCTGCCACTCAGCTCCCGAGACCATGTTTACTCGCTCGGTTTAATGGGGCCGTGAGTAGACACTGACTTGTGACTTCATAATACATCTAGAGACTTGTCTCCATGTACATGCCTTGCGGGCCACCGTTGCCCCTGCCAGGCGCCTCCGCACCCACTCTCTTTGCTACCACCCGCGACCAATGGAAATAAGCCACATACCTAATCTTAATTTGTTTAGTAACCACGTCTAAAAAAAAAAAAAGTTTAGCCGAAACCGTTTTGACTCAGTGGTAGAGCGTCGGTCGGCGGACTGAAAGGTCCCAGGTTCGATTCTGGTCAAGGGCGTGTACTTTGGTTGCGGGCACATCCCCGGTAGGTAGCCTCTGTGCAAGAGGCAGCTGGTCGATGTTTCTCTCTCGTCGACGTTTCTAACTCTCTATCTTTCTCCCTTTCTCTCTGTAAAAAATCAATAAAATATATTAAAAAAGAAAAGAAGGCAAACAAATGGCCAACAGGTACATGAAAAGATGCTCAACATCACTAATCATTAGGAAATGAATATTTAAAAAAAGTTTAAAAAACAACATCACATATGTACACACATCAAAACACATGTGTGGGTGGGTGGACCAGTGGTTCGAGCGTAGGTCGGCGCACCTGAAGCGCCCTGGATTCGATTCTTGGTCAAGAGCATGTACCTGGATTGCAGATTGGATCCCCGACCTGGTTGGGGTCTGTACAGAAGGCAACCAATCCATGGATGTGTCTCTCTCACATCTTTGTTTCTTTCTCCCTCACTCCCTCTTCCCCGCCACTCTCTCTAAACATCAATGGAAAAAAATGTCCTGACAACCTAAGGGAAAAGAGGTCAGTGCCCCCAGAGGATTAAAAAAAAAAAAAAATGTATTTAATCCAGTATAACCAAAATATTTCAAAGGTGGTGGGTATAAAAAATACAAATGAGGAAACTTACGCTATTTTACTCTGCGCAAAGTCTGTGAAATCCCATTCATTTTACAGCTACATTTTCATCAGAAAGAGTTGGTCTGGCTTTAAGTTTCATAACATTTACAGTTGAAAATGTAAACTCTCATGCCCAAGCCATCCCATGAAAAGTGTGTTCCGTGAGCTCAATTGCATATTGGTTTTTAAATGGAAATGTTAGTTAAAATTAAGTGACATGGAAAGTTTTGTTTCATAGTGGAAGTAGCTATATTCAGCTGCTCGTGAGCCCTTATGGGAAGTGGCTACCATATTGGACATTGGACATCAAATTGGATTAGACCCTCTCCTGCTTATAATGTGAGTGGTTTTCTATTTTTCTCAGGATGAGGACACAGTCATCTCTTTGCTCCACTGCCCCCATCCACAGCTTTACTTTTCAACGGTTCAGTTACCTGCCTCAATCTTGATACGAAAATATTAAATGGAAAACTCCAGAAATAAACAGTTCATGTTTTAAATTGTGCACTGTTCTGATATCACGATGGGGCATCGTCCCATGCACTGAGGGTCATAGGTTCAATTCCCTGTCAGGGCACATACCCAGGTTGCAGGTTCAATCCCCTGTCAGAGTGTGCGGAAGGCAACAGATCAATGTTTCATTCTCACATTGATGCTTCTCTTTCTCTAAAATCAATAAAAATGTAAAAAATAAACATGTAATACCTGACTATTTAGTCAGGGGCACTGACTGCTTTTCCCGTAGAGTTGTTAATTTCTGTTATTGTTAATTTCTGACTACCTAATTTAGAAATTAAACTATTACTGGCATGTGTGTTTAGGAAAAACGGTATATTTAGGGATAGTTTAATATATACATACACACACATACACATACTAGTGGCCTGGTGCACAAAATTTGTGCACATTAAAAAAGGATTAGAGGAAATAATTTAATATTGCTGTTTGCCCTTTCTCTATAATAGAAGTGTCAGAGATGAAAAAAAATTAGTAAAATGTATATGAAAACCTTCTTCCTGTCAGAGTGTGGGGCGCACCATGGGATCCAGAGTCAAGTCCCCATGCACCTCAAAATCGTGTGAGACCCAGAACCTGGCTGGGCTCCAGCCCCATGAGGCTAGATCCAGACCTGGCCAGTCCCACCATTGTCAGGCCCCACTGGGCAGGGGATGTAGCATCAGGTCCCCTGGCACAGCGCCAGGACAGGTGCTATGGCCTGAGGTCCCCCAGCCCAGACCAGGGTGGTGTGTGTGAGCCTTGAGGTCCCCTGTCAAGCCCCACTGGGCGGGAGGTGCAGCCTGAGTTTCCCCAGCCCAGCACTGGGGTGCACCTTGAGGTCCCCTGTCAAGCCTCACCTGGTGGGAGGCGCAGCCTGAGGCCCCCCTGCCTGGCGCTAGGGCAGGGGGAGCAGCCTGAGGTCCCCTAGCCCAGCACCAGGACGGAAAGCTCACCTTGAGGTCCCCATCAAGCCCCCTGGGTGGGGGCCATAGCCTCAGGTCCCCCGGCCTGGTGCCAAGGCGGGAGGCACGGCCTGACGTCCCCTGTCAAGCCCAGCCAGGTAGGGGGGTGCAGCCTCAGGTCCCCTGGCCCGGTGCTGGGGGTGGGGGGCATAGCCTGAGGTCCCCCACCTCAGCACTGGGGTGCACCTTGAGGTCCCCTGTCAAGCCCAGCCAGGTAGCGGGGTGCAGCCTCAGGTCCCCTGGCCCCGTGCTGGGGCGGGGGGATGCTGTCTGAGGTCCCCCGGCCTGGTGCTGGTGTGGGGGCTCAGCCTGAGGTCCCCTGTCAAGCCCCACGGGGCGGGGGAGGGCATAGCCTCAGGTCCCTGCTGATTGCTCCTCATGGGAACTTGGCTTCAGCTGTGGGTGCACCCATCTTTGTGACGGAGTGATGGTCAATAGCATGTTCCCTCTTTATTAGATAGGCATCCTCTGGGGATCTTGGAGCTGTCCTCCTCCACTAAAGGGGCACTACTATATTGTAAGACTCTACATGCTTTGTTCCCTACAACCCACAAGCCCCAACTTCAGACCAGCCAAATTGCCCCTCTCTTTGTTCCTTAGAAATCTGACAGCATTCCCAGCTCAGAACCTCTAACTAGATTCTCTTCTACTTTTGGGGATGGTTGGTGCCTTCTTGTCATTTATGTCTCTCTGTTTAAATATCCTCTCCTCAGAGAAGCCTTTCCAAGGGTCTCCTGGACCACTGGCAGTCCGCTGCCCTGGACAGTGTTCTTACTCAGAGTGTATGAAATTACATTTGGAAATAATTTGAAAATTAGATTTTCTTGAGGCCTGAATAGCAAGCACTGATCCAACTTACTAGCATTCTTATCCAGCCACCTCTGCCCACCCCCCCCCCCCGAGTCTTAAGGCTACATATATTTTTGTATCTACATGTCACATCAATTTTTTAAAATTAATTCTCACCTGAGGATACTTTTCCATTGATTTTTAGAGAGGGTGCATGAGTAAGTAGGGGGAGAGAGAGAAACATGGATATGAGAGAGACATGTTGACTGGTTGCTTCCCACAGGCATGGTGACTGGAACCAGGGATGGAACCTGCAAGCCATGTACGTGGGAATGGAACCCGTGACCAGCATTGTAACCATTGAACCACATGGGCCATGGCATACATGTCACATTAATTTAAAACAATTTTTTTTGCATTAAAAATTAAAAAAAAATTTTCGCCTTTGAAATTACTTGGCTACAAGGAGATTCATATTTGTGATGGCTGTGATTCTTGGCAATCATTGAGCCAACTTGGAAATTTTTGTGACTCAAGAAAATCTAATTTTCAAATTATTTCCAAATGTAATTTGATTGTTTATGAGTACTAAATTTAATGATGAATGAAGTTGCCATAACGTTACATTTTCTAGATAATTAAACATCTATTCATTTCCAACTTTGTAGTTTTCCTTTTTCATTGTGGAACTTCTTTCCTTTATCCTCAGACTCAACCTTTTCATAGCCCGGGGAAAGCTCAACAACCAGGTGGTGCTAATGAAGAAAATGGCTCCATCTAGCTGGCTGAATAATACTCATTTGTAAACCAGATCATGTCATTACTCTGCTTAAAACCTTCAGAGGCTTATCATACTTAGAATGAAACCTGAGATCTTTACTGTGGCTCAGGAGGCCCTGCAGGCTGGCCTCAGTTGACCCCTGCAGGCCTCATCTAACAGTCTCCCTCTTGTCACCACTTTGAAGCCCTGCTGGCTGTATTTCCTGTCTTTCAGCACAAGCTTATTCCTGCTACAGGACTTTGCACTTGCTGTTCCCTCTCTCTGGAATCTGCTCCCTTCAGATAATTGTATGGTTGTCTCATTCTCATCATTTATGGTTCAACTCAGATGTCCCTCTCAAGCCTTCCTGGACCACCCTAGAATAGACCTTCCTTAATCACATGACCCTGCTTTATTAACTTAGTGGCACTCAGAACCTGTACTTAATGTTGGTTTTGAGCTGGGCTTGTTACTGTTCATCATCCCTTAATTATTAGATTAAAAGCTGGATGTGGACAGAGATCTTAGCCTGCCTTACAT